GTTTGAGTGTCCCGGCCTGTCAGAATGAAGGATCATTCTTGGTTCAGTGATCTTCTGTCTGACTTGTTAGAGAGAAAGTTGTAAACCTCCACGAGCAGCAGAACAAAGTGTCCGTCCATGAAGACATTCATAAAAACAGCTTTATTCCAAATCTCAAACAACACTTTACAACAGTTCATCAACATGGACACAAAGACCAGCACGGTCACCTCCTCAGGTCCAGCTTAATCGTCTTCTGCAGACTGGCTATGCTAGCGTCCAAAGCAGCCAGGCCGTCTCTGAACGCTGCTTCGTCTCTGGTGTCAAAGGTCAAATCAGACCACACGGACTCCGTTTCGCTCTGGGACAGCGTGGCGTTAAACAGCTGCCTGCGAGCGTCCTCTGGCCGCAGGGCTTCACCTGGACCAGGATCGCGATCAGACTCGTGCCGAGTCCCTGCAGGATCTGCTCTCCTCTGAGCTGTGACGTCTAGATGTGCCGAGTCTGAATCTCTCTCTGCATCCGCACACTGCACAGGCGCCATCTGGCTAAGAGACTTCAGGTATTGGGCGATATGGTCAGTAGGGGGCGCTGGCACCCGTCTGTGCTGGTGTTGGCTCGTCTCTGACACAGAGCTGACAACATGATGATCTGCTGAGAGGAGACTGAAACAGAAGACGACATGAATCGTGTTACACGTTCATGTGTTAACAGCGTTGTTAAAGCAGCTGTGGTGCTCTCATCCTGGGGGGGTGACTCCCACCCACACAGGCCCACCTGTGGAGGTGTTCCAGCTCCTTCAGCCTTTGCTGTGCCAGCGAGGCCAGCTCACTCTTCTCCCGTTCACTGTCCAGTAACCTCCTCTTACTGGCCTCCAGCTCTGCACACACACACACAGGCTCTTTGTAAGGAAACACTGCAGACACATGAAATGATGCAATAACACTTGCTGTTGTTCGTGGCAGTGTCTTTAAAGAGTGTCACAAAGAGCCCACAGCTCAGCTCATCAGCAGGACTCACTGTGAGTGCGTACCCATCTTAACGAGTGCAGTTTCAGCCTCTCGGTCTCTCAGCTGGCTCTGTGTGTCCTGCAGGGTTTTCCGTAGGTCCGTCAGGTCATCCTGGAGTTCCTGCAGCCTGGACTGAGCAGCAGCGAGCTCTTCCTGAAGTCTCGGCCCTGTGGAGACCTTTTCCATTACTCCCCAGTCAGTTAAAGCTTTTTACCCAAACTGACCCCAACGGTAAAATCAGTGTCTGTTGTTGTGTCTTTACAGTGTGAAGCAGCTCGAGCTGACTGTGTTATTTAAATACAAATGAAATAAATACACAACTATTTATGACTGAGACACAATTTACAGTTACAGAGTGTCGCCTGGTTCTGATGTCTCTCCGTCTCTGGCTGCTGGTCCAGGTTCCTCACACACCTAGGACACACACACACACACACACACACACACGTTATACCAAAAGCATCAGAGTCCAGTGAAGTGAAGGACGTCGTGTGTCTCACCTGTGCAGGTCTGACACACTCTGGCTGTTTGAAGCACTATTATTCATCTGTGCTGTGGACACCGTCTGCTCCAGATGACTGAGTAGGCTCTCTGCTACACTGCCTGACACACACACACACACACAGTGTGACATCATCAGCACATGTGACAGAGGCTCACGTCCTGTGTGTGACTGCAGCATTACTTTGCTGAGCTCCTTTACAGGTACAAACATCAGTGACATGTAGCTTAATGTCAGATATCACAGGTTGTGCTTGTGATGTCTGGCAGGGTGCAGGGGTGAGATGCACGCAGTCACTTTACCTTGTCCAGCAATCAGAGCCTTGAGTTGTGCGAACAGATGCTGAAGCTTGTGAGCTTTTGTCTGTGCCTCAGCGTTGCTCTCCTCAGCCTGTCCAGGCTGCAGCTGTAAGTGCGCCACCTTCACACTGCAGCTGTCTCCGTGTGCACGTGTCAGAGTGTGTGTGCTGGGGCTCCGGGTGTTCGTGTCTCTCACAGGAACAAACTCTTGTGCTTCGTCACACGTAGTGCGAGGCGTTTCAGAGTCAGGCCGGCAGGCAGCCCGACGGCTCGAGAGAGAGGAGGACTGACGCACGGACAGAAGGACGGACGCCTCGTGCTGGGGTGGACCGACGGCGTGAGGAAGAAGCCGAGGGGAAAGTAAGTGAGACTGCAGCTGGGTGGGACATGGTTTCTGAGGTGGGTGGAGCTTCACTCCTGAATGTGGTGCAGGACGGGCAGACGGGTGTCCTCGTGGAGCTCTGCTGTCCGATCCATGCCGGCCTGACGCGCTCTTCTGGCCTGGAAGGTG